CATGCAAAACATAAGAGTACCCCCCCCCCCCCCTCCCCCCTACTGCTGTGTTGGGTGAACTCTCCAATTGTGTGAAGGAAATTCCCACACATGAAAAAAAAACGGAATAAAAATTGTTTGGTGTTCACGACCCCAATGTGAGATAAGTGAGGTCGTCTCGACTACTCATGTCCGAAGGGTTACCGCTCTGCGGCAGGCAGGAAAGGCTCGCATCAACACCGCCGTATTTCGCATCAAACGCCGCGCACGGGTACCATGCATGTACGGACATGAGAAGATCGGAGTGGACCGGACCTAAGCAGTTGTACAACGGCAATACCTCGCAAGAGACCCATGGAAGATAGATTGTGGACACCCCCCGCGCCGCCGACTGTCCTACGNCCCCGCCCCCTCCATATCCCCCGCCGCCGCCACCGCTCGTTCCACCGCCTCCGCCGCCGGTGCTGTTGCTTGCACCCGCGCCTCGGCTAGCAGCAGCGGGTCGAGTGGGAGCTCCAATCTCTCGTCGGAGAGATCGGAGAAGCTCCGCGTCTGGACAGCGATGCCGTTGCCACCATCATTTCGTTGTCCGATAGGGTGCACAAGACACAACGGGAAAGGGAGCGTGTGATTTGACGGCAGCATTTTCGGAGATTCAAGTCGTAGATTTGAGTGAGAGCTCCCTAGTCGAGGTGTACGATGTATGCGACCGGGAGGGATTCTTGGTGTGTGTGTGGTCCTGTGAAGCTAGCATGTTTGATTGCCCAGGGAAGGGCGGCGGGGCTGTACAAGTTGCTTAGGGCTGAGTTCGGGTCCTGACCGTGGCTGCGTGCGGGACTTTGCTACACGGCAGCAGTCTGCTGCTGCGGCGCAGCTGCTACTATCTACAGCTGCTGCTAGGTACCTATTATAGTCTGTGTAGAGCATTGACGAACGCATTGCAGAAATCAACCTACGCTGTTGTGACTTCAAGCTTCAACCCTCGCAAACACGTTGAATTCATCAGGAGCGAAACGAAGGCAATCAATGGGGTTCGGACAGTACACTTTGGATGCATCATCGCAACAGAAAAACAACAACACCAATTCGAATCTACATACATCCGCCCCCCCGGAGTATAACCACAGCGCTGATTCGCGGGGGAATGTACCCCCGTGCACGCGATCGCATGATCATATCCATCATATGTATATCATGTTACACATTTCTGCCCCGAGCGCGTCTGTTGAGAAAAACCGCGAACGAGCCGAGTGTAATGTATACTATCTGCAGTGCCTGCACCTGCTTTTGTACCGCAGGTGAGACATCGTCTCCACTGCTACGTTGCGATATTTGGGATGTGCCTCGCTTTCTCACCGTCTGCTGGCATGGCCCTTCCTTGCCAACGACTGGTGCCGTAGAAGAGAGCGTGCCTCAATTGGATCCCCTCTGTCCGCCTTGGTCTCTATTCGTCTCTCTCTCTCCCTCTATGCTCTCTTTCTCTCCCCTGCGCTTCCTCAGTTGCTAAGCGAAAAGTATGTCGTGTGACAAATGATAACCATATGTCAGTCTTCGTTGCTATCATATAGGGAGCTTTTTTAGGGTGGGGGGGACGTACGACAAGAAATAGGTCGGGGAGGGGGACGTTCGTAAATGGTCCGCAGGGGATAATTCTCGGAGATCTCCCAAAATTTCTGTCACGATCTACGTTTTTCGGGGGCCGTTCTTCAGCTTGGCCCACGCCGGCCTGTTGTGCTGCCGCGACAAAACAGACGGATTGAGCGGCTGCAGTGCAACTCGCTTGCATCACACAGCACCTATGCGGGCAACGCTTGGGCGCCTTGGCAGGCGGAAAGCCTACATCGCCGGTATCCTTGTGCTGGCCGGGGTCATGCTGCTCCATGGCATGAGATCGATGAACGGCACACTGGTGCCGCGGGGGAAAGCCGTCAATTACAGCAGCAGTGCGAGCGCTTGCGAATGGAGAGAAGGAGGACCACAGCTTTACGTGGTGCACCACAACGAGGGCCACGCCAAGGGTGAGCGTGAGCGTTGCAGCGCACTGCTGAGGTTATGAGTGCAGCAATCAATGTCACCTTTAATCCTTTGGGTGACCGATTCGCCGTATGCAGCACCTGCGTCCTGAACAGGTTCATGGCACGCGCAACAGCATCCCTTACAGATTGACTGCGACAGCAACTCAAGCAGCAGCTTTGTTGTTCACCGCCTGCCACTTGCCGCGGTCCGTTGGGATGAGACATACTTAATCTGCCGACAAGCGTCATGGTGTCCAATGCGATACACGATTCGCAAAGCAAATATAGAAGTCCTTGCTTGTGGTTTGTAGATATGCAGCTGTGGAGAGAAGAGTTTTTGAGTTGTTGCGGGTTTTTTGCAGTGGGTCCACCAAAACGTGAAAAACGAAAACTTCGGTTGCCCTCGCTGAATGGATATTTTGGGTCATGTACGCAAGCATGATGCATCCCTGGCTTGGTTGCTGTTGCGGTATACAACATGTATTCGGCAAAAGAAATGCAACAACGTACTGACAGCAATGGTGGATGTGGTGTTTTTCCTGCAAGTAGTCGTGACCGCCCGGCTCCGTCCTTGTATTGGTGTGGTGCAAGGTGCAAGCAAAATTGGAGATCGCCATCTTTCGCCGGCGCCGAGCCGCGCGCGTAACCACAGCAGACCACGCGCCCTTCCGAAACCGAAAAATTCGTTTTCATTCCAACAATACTCCGCCACCTCCACCAAATGCTCCCTCTCCATGTACTCCATGGATATGGCTGACCAGGAGACAGAAAGCCTGCCACAGCAGTGACTAGCAGCAGGAGACGAGATTTTGTCCCTTGTTGCATCCCCCACAACGCCAACACAGAGATGCGTGTTTTTTTGTGTGTGAAAGATGTCGGACCCGCTCCGGACGTATGTTGTCAGCTACCGGAAGATCGCGAGTCATCGCACGGCAGCAGTCACTCCCTCCCTGTGCGGAAATCGAATTAGTAGCGCGGTGGATGCTATCTGAGAAACACACACATACACACACCAAATACAAGGCGGCCAAATACGAAATCCCGGCAAGATGCGGGAAAACGAAATTTCCCGCCGTCGAATGGTCCTCACTCGCGACACCTGGCAGTCAGAGGGTAATGCAGTTGGCTTGGCTTGGCTGGGCTTTGGCTTGTGGCTGATGTTTTCTTTATATCTTGTTCTTGTCGAGGCAAAAACAAAGTTTTATTCCCCATTGAGAATAATGATCAGATACCGTTGTTTTTCATGTGTACCTCCACATGCTGTTTGCGACAGACAGGGTACGATGTGTTTTGCTCAACGGAGCTATGCATGCATGCGTACATAACATGCCAGGACCAGCATGGTGAAGGGTAACATTTGCCTGGCATCGTTGGCACTCAACTACCCTTATGAATCAATTATGATACACTGTTAGCATTTTAATTTTTATCGCACGGGGGTGCGATGACTCCGGACTAGATACATGGTGTGCGATATGTGCGATATCTCCTGACCGCGCGATGACTATTGTAGTAGCAAATCTTTTGAGCCTCCCAGTTTGTAGGAAATTTCATCCGTCCTCCCTCCGACCGCAGCTCCTCTTGAAAAGTTGCACGGCGCTGCATGATCTGATCGTGTCTCACGTGTGTCTCGCACATCTCACACAATATTTCCCTCTTTGCCCCTTTTCGTGAACGGGTTTGGTCCCACGCCCGACGCCGGTCGAGGCCGGCGAGCAGTCACGTCCACAATTGAAACACGCTTCTTTGCATTTTTTTTTTCTCCCCCCCGGGCTCGATCGCGGTATTTTCGTTCGAAGTATTGATAGAATGGCATGTGATAGATGCGGACATTTTGATGAGACGCCACAGCTTGTTCACAGCAGTGCTTGCTCGATGTGGTCCCGGCGCTTGGATTCAGATGTAACTCGCTATTTTCCTCGATTAATTTTTTTTCGCGACAACACGAAGCTCTTGTTTGTCGCTGGGAACCATATCAAAGTCTAGCCTTTGGCTGTGGGTCGCAAGCTAGCAGGTGCAGAGCACGTAGCACCAAAGCGTACAGGACGCGCACGCAATCAAATGCTAACCTCCTGGCGCAAAAATGATCGTTCGTCGTTTCCTGTTCGCTCAATTTTTTTTCTCAGCTAGTCATTGGTTCCACATTGCCGAGTGCTTTACGGGACGGCGGGCGGACTTGAAGGAGACAATAGCTGGCATGAGTGGAGCATCCACCGTGTACCTGCAGGTGGGATCACTTCAGCGTCAGGTTTCGTTTTTCTGTTTACGTTCTCGTGGTTGCATTACTGTTGCTGCTGTTCTTATCTCTCTGTCGTCGCTACCTTGTTACCCCGCATAGCGCGCAGAGGGAGTAGAGGACTCCAGAATATCTGTCGTTGATTTCTATTGACTTGCGGACCCCTCGGGTCCATTTTATTTGAGTGTACCTTGTCAGGGTAAGTTCGCCTGCGACCACGGGAGTCGACCGCGTCGAGTGTTGGATCAGTACGGACATACGGTGGTANTCTATTGACTTGCGGACCCCTCGGGTCCATTTTATTTGAGTGTACCTTGTCAGGGTAAGTTCGCCTGCGACCACGGGAGTCGACCGCGTCGAGTGTTGGATCAGTACGGACATACGGTGGTACTGGGTAGAGAGAGATCGGAACGGTTATTAATGTGAAGACAACAACAACCTTGCTGTTCCTGTTGCCGTTACTTTTGTTGTCTCGGCATGTTGTTTCTTCCGTCATCGTCGTTTGGTGTTTATTGATGTTTTGTCGGCGTTTCGTGTTTTGTGTCATTGTTGCCTCTGCCGAACCACGCTTGCTGCTCGATTTCATCCACACGTGCGGCCTTCCGCTGATCCAGCACACGTTCAAAGCCCAATGGGTCAACACGCCGCGAAAGCTTCACCATTAGTTGATGTATCCTACATTGCACCTGGCGGTATCTTCGCGGCTTGTTTTTTTCTTGGACGAACTCCGGCCTGGGGGCACACTGCCTTTTCGATCATACAATCCCCACTTTGATCTATTTTATGTTTTCCGTTGCGCCCAGCTATGTAATGGCCTTGTACTCGAGCTGGATGGCTCAGCCTGTCTCTGAAGACTAGTACAATCCATAGACCTTGGGAGCACCAAACCTTCTCGAGCATGCCAGCACCATATTTCTGCGTTTTCTAATTTCCGCTCGTGCATACGTTCTTGGGGCAAAGGTTCTAGACCCGACCTGGATGGCCCACTTGTCTCCCATGAGCCGCCTCCTGATCGTGGTCGGCTTGACCAGCGTGGGCGCCGACAACGTGCGCTTCGTCGACGCGGACCGGGCGTCGTTTTCCTACACCAGCGGCGACCCCGAACAACCGGCGCAGCAACCGCGCATCAGCAGCACTCAGACAGCGGGAGCAGATGAAGGTGGCGGCGGGAAGGAAGGTGTAAGCGAGGAGGCCGGTGGTGGTGTTGGCAGTGGTACTCGAAGGCGGCGGCGACGGCTGCAGGCGGCGGGAGAGCCGGGGGATCGGCAGCAGCAGCAGCAGCAGAGGCAGCAGCAGCCGCGACCGGGACAAGTCGGTCTGCTGGAGTTCGACCCGAGGGGCCGAGGCAGCGAGTTCGTCGTGTCCCCGGCCCTGTCCCTCCCCGAACGGCTGACGGTCACGGCGGACGTGGTTTCCCCCGCGTACAACCCGTCGGCTGCCGCTCCTCCTGCCGGAAGCGCTGACGATCAACAGCGACCGGGGGCGACGCAGACGGGAGGAGCACCGCCGGTCACCAGGGTTGTCAGGGGAGGAGGGGCGGGGGTCTCCAGCGGCGGGCAGCAGGGCGATGAGACAAGCGCGCGGGAGCCGGTGTGCGTGAAGTACCTGGACACGGTGGGCGAGTCGGTGGTTCAGCGCTCGGAGTGGTTCCCCAGCCCCGAGGACGCCGCGTCGCTTCGGAGAGCAATAGACGCCTACTGCCCGCTCTCGTTCCTTAGAAGCCAGGAAGGGGAGGAGGAGGGTGTTCGGAGGTTGCTGCTGTACCAGCGCGACCAAAACCGACAGATCTTGCACGCGGACAAGGTGAGGGGGGGGGGGGGGCATGCCTTAGCCGTTGACATGGTGTCCTCGAGAGGACGGAGCGTTGTTTCCACAGGACCCGAGGGGCTATGGTTGAGAGGGATGTTTGAAGTGACACCGGGTTACAACAACAGGTCGTGTTGTGCTGGTGGGTACGCTTGGTGATGCTGTTGAATGGTGATGGTTCTTCTATTTTGTCGCTTTCTAAACTTGTTGTGATAGTGCCCCTTTGCGTGGCAACTTGCCGTGGTCGCGTGTGTGTTGTGTACCGATTCCCGCTGCGAGAGAACAGCAGTAGGCCACTCTTTCATGCGCACATTGGTAAAAGGCGCTCGTTTCCGGTGTCGAGAAAATGTCGGTACTTGTTGTGCGTGGCGATCAACGCTTCTGTCGACGTATCCTCACGCGTTGGAATGTGGGAAGTACCACTGGTCCAAAGACAACAATCAATTGACGGGTTCGAGTACCGGAGTCGCTATTTAGCGAAACCTAAATCGAGAATGGCCAC